TTCCTCGGTGATACACCGGTAAAAATTTTGGTTTACTAAAATATCCTTCGACCTGTGGCCTGATAGTTTTATAATAGATTGTAAAATGTATTACAGTGGGCGTGAGCGTGTCGTTAACTTTAAAAACATATTTATGGGTAGAAAATTCGTCTACTTTTCCCTTGTAAAAAAGTATCATGATGTGTATATGTCTTAGTTAAGCGATACATCGATTCGCTTACTTCGTGGTGAAGCAACAAGTTCGTTACACTGTTTCGTGATAGGTATACTCAAGGCGCATTACAAAGGGCATTGTATAAACGATGATGAAAAGCTCCTCGTATACTGTTATGCAAGATTTAATGGGAAGTTTGCAGAACTCGTGTGCAAATAAACAAGTAATTTGTCTTAATTCGATTATGTTAGAAATAGTAATTAGTCAGACACGCTTTTAGGTAAAGACTGCCGTGTCGTGATATGTACAGTGTCAAATAACAGCAAAGTTGTTTATAGCTATATTTGATTAGAATAATAGTAAAGTATAAAGAATGTAAATACACAAACACAATGTAAACATAATACTTTTTGTTTGCAATCAGATTACTGCATTGTTACATAAATTTTCCGGTTTTCAATAATTGTAGCAGAGAAAATACCTCTTAGTGAATGTGTATTCAGTGAATTGTAGCGTATACTTTTCAGAGAATGTTTCACAGAGCAAAGCAAAACTCGTTTGAAAGTTTAGTTCGGTTCACCATCAAGTAAGATAGGGAGCGACTATTCACGTTAGTGGTTACTTTGCACAAAAACAATCGTGGGTAAAAGTAATATTTAGTTTCGAGGGCGAAAGTAAAGGAATTATGTCGACTATCAGATGATAATTTAAATTGCAGTCTCATAGTGGTTGGCCATGATAGTCCGACCCGGTCTTTATTATCTATCACAACGTAACAATCGTTTATTATCGTTTTCTAATTATCAGTGAAAGTTCCTCATTAAGCAATAAATGGCTTTAATTATATTTTAATGGTGATGTTATTGTATTGGTTTCAAAATGATACTTGCACGCCAATCATTAAGAATTGCATTAATTGTTGCCTTGTTTTCATTTGATTACACCATGTTATCTTGCTATTACGAAATGTAATTCTCTCCCAGGATCATGTAATGAAATTTTAGAAATATTACATACGTCTTCAAGATATTTCCAATCAGACAAAATCGGTTAGCCATTTCATTTGCTGGTCTTCAAGAATCGAAGATAAGAAGGCCAAGCAGTATGTTATAGGGATAAGTAATAATAACTAAAGCAGATTTCCAATCGACAATTACAAAAACAAGTCAAGTCATCGATTATTTTTATGTAAGTTTTATATTAATTGGATGAAATCGTGTCAATTAAAAATTCAATTCGCGGACCTGTGTGAAAATTAAAGTTATATTGTTTCAATAGCTTAATATATAGGATATGAATGACAAAATTTGCAAACGGATTGCATGAAGTCGACTTTTGAACAAAGTATATGATGATTCAACGTGAATTGATAAAGCAATGAGGGGCCATCTAGAATAACACTTGATGACAAGGTATCTATAATTGTACGATTGTGCATGTTATTACATACAATTGTATCAATTATCTAAGATATAAAAAGAACACGTGGTGAATGTGAAGTATGATATTGATGGGGAACGTGTACAGAGGTAAAATCCAGTAGCCTACAAGTGGAATTTATGACGAATCTAATTAATGACACTACTATTGATTTTTAATCAGATTAATTTGAAATTGAAACAAATCTATTCTCGAATTCTTTTCCGAGTATTCGCCAAATAGTAAGACATGGAAAATGATTGCTGTGAGAACCGAGCAAATGTCTGCTACTTGGCTTTTTTCATTGTACCCTGTGCAGATTGTCCACTCTGTAATATATAGGGCAGGCCCAACAACAGCAGTAACAGCTTTGCTATAGACTGTAATGATTATTTTGAGGTACAGTATATATGAACTTCTTAAGAATGCTTTCATACCCACTTCTATTTATAGCAATCGGGAATCAAAACAGACTAGTGTTACAGGAGATTACAGATTGCAGTAGAAGAAGGAGTAAACTGATGATGCGAGTTAAAATTAATTGTATATCGTAGCAACTGACGTGCTTGCACAATTCTGCCTACATATATATGTATGTATAAATGAAGTTTCAAGTTCAGTTTTATTTGAATAATAGAGTGAGCAAAATGAAATTTTGAAAGAAAGGTATTTCCCGGAGTTTAATTCTTGGAAACTCGATGTAAATATTATTCATTCATCAGGGATAAAAATCTTACTAAAGTGAAGCATATGTATTTGTATGCTTCATTTGAGTAAGATTTTTATTCTTGATGAATGACTCAAATTTGCATCAAGTGAACTTTGCGATGTAGAGTCGAAATGCCTGGAGGGTAATTCCGACCCTAATCTCTCACAGTGTTGAGGGAAATAACGAAACATTCCGGGGATTAACGCTGTATATCTTCCGGAAAGTTAAACGTCAACTTTGTTGGATCCATCCTGTTCTTTGTTGTGTATTCATTTAAAAAGGATTACGATAGGTGGTGTAAAAACTGAGATCAGTGTATAATGAGAAACTGAGGTTATTTGCCGAGATTTCGAATAACCCATAATTATACCAGGTGTAAGGATACAGACTTGCCATGAAAATATATATATTTCTTGTCTAGACATCGTTTGTGGCTGTGGTATTTAAACTGCCGTCATTTGGGTAACTCCCATCCTAGTTTGTTGAGTCAAATTAGTTTAACGGTACTCATGGCTAGATGCCTCCGCAAAATAATGAGACAGTTTACCAGTGCTCGGAAATGTTTGTGTGCCGAGTATTTCCACCGGTACATTGAGCAAAAAATAACAGCTGCTATTCAAACAAGAGAGCTACGCCCAAATATATGGACACGTCTATCGCAGTACAGTACGGTTTACCGTACCGTCAGATCACAGTCTACAAATATATTCACACCAAGCGAAGCAGCACAGTAGGACACAAAATGGCGTCCGATGTCTGCTGATCGTTTAATGACGTCATAGCGAACAAAAACAAATCTCACAGAGCTATCAGAAATATTTAAAATGAAAAAAAGTAATAGCCTTCTGGGGAAAAATTTTATCTTCAACCACTGAAAATTTCAAAGCAATTGGTCCAGTATTCGAAGAGAAAAGCGATTTTTTTAAAAATGATGGAGACAAATAACAATAATTTATCGCAGAACAGTTCTTCCCTTGCAAATTTTATGTTGTTTTCAGTAGAACTGTAATAAAAAACAAAAAGGTGAGAGCGAAATTTACTGCGGTACCTAATGTAGGCACGCTACTGAGTCAGCAGTCAGCCAGCATCTTACCTGTACACTGTAGGCCATATAATTGATCACAGAACAGTTCTTCCCTTGCAAATTTTACGTTGTTTTCAGTAGAACTGTAACAAAAAGCAAAGAGATGAGAGCTGAATTCACGGCGGTACCGGTACCTAACGTAGGTGCGGTACTGAGTTAGCAGTCAGCCAGCATCTTACCTGTACACTGTAGGCCATATACGGTAATTGATCACAGAACAGTTGTTCCCTTGCAAATTTTATGTTGTTTACACTTTAGGACAGATAATTGATCACAGAACAATTCTTCCCTTTCAAATTTTATGTTGTTTCCAGTAGACTCTCATCAAAATAAACAAATATAGTAGGCTACAAGTGCTACAACGCTTGCATTACTGCACTGGTAGGACCGTAAAAGAATAAGTTACGGTAATTTCATTGTGGTAAGACACCGGTACCGGCACCAGTACCAGTATCGTACTTACGTACTGAGCTACCAGTACCGGTACCGAACCTGTAGGTCTGATATTCCGTTCCGCATACGATAGGCTATAAAACTTGCATTGCAGCATTAGTAATACCGCGGAAGGAATAAGTCAATTTCACTGCGTTACGGTACCGGTATGGCAACTTACCAGTACCGACCTACAGTAGCTGTAGTACTGAGCAAGACAATCGATCGCGAAACCGCTTGAAATAAGTGTAAAACAGTGTTCCCATGAGTAAATATAAATACCGCGAAATTTTGTATGAAATATCATATCTCATAGGATTCATATAAAATTTAAGAATAAATAAAAGTAATAGCCTTCTGGGGAAAAATATAATCTTTACTCACTGAAAATTTCAAAGCAATTGGTCCAGTAATCAACGAGAAAAGCGATTTTTTCATAACGATACCAAGAAGAAGACAAATAAGAACAAGAACAACAAAAATACCAAAACGATCGTTATGTCCACTAACGTGTCCAATAACAAGGTGAAATTGTGACAAGAGGGCATCTAAGAGTTTAAGAGCAATTTCCCGAACTCAATTAGAGATTTGGATCGGCTAAAATAAAAATAAAAACAGTGGAAATAGGTATAAAGTGAGCCGCATGGTCGATTTATTCTGTCGCCCAGATGAAGTCTGAGACTGAGGATCACACGCGGAATCAAAAACGTTATGTATTGAAAACGTACGCGGCGTTCCAGGTGTTGCATACTAGTTAGTATTAGATATGGAAACAGTTTTCTAGTCATACACAATTATTACATCCACAACTTTGTCATTCACGCCACCAGTTAATCAAGTAATCATTACGATGTTCTCGAAATCCCGTTGTTGACAACACGGAACAGCCTTTTGTTGTAAGTTTGTGCAGGAACGTGTATCACGAGAAGTCGCTGGCGAAAAAGTGGATGTCTTTGCAGTTTGTTGGGATGGACGAAGTAAAGTTACAGTTGCAGTTAATGAATATTATAATTATGATGTAATATGGTATTAAGTATAAACTGTTGCGGTGTCCAGAGTCTATTCCTGCTTAACGGACACCAACAATTCTGGATATCTCAGTCTCTATCACATTATATTGGACTCAAAAATTCCAGTTTAGTTTGATATGACGTTAGCCTGAATCTAGTCCGAAATGTTCTGCCTCAGCTATTTTTAATTAATCAATGTTCCATTTTTTACAGATCCGTCGGTTATATTAATCTATAGTATCCACCCTCGTAGGCCTAGTTTTAGTAGCATTACGAATTCGCTCCCTTTACAGAGATGTTTTCAAAACAAAATACTGTTCTACTAGTGATTCTTGCTCTTCTGGCTACAGCGATTATCGCAGGTAAGATGATGAGTATATAATGTGGATAAATATGACTATAAGTTCTTACAATCACAAACATCGTTGCGTACAATACATAAGATGGATGCCTATTACATTTTTTTAAGTAAAGGAGCAGTTAGTTCGTGGTATTATACACACCTCCGACGTGAGCTCGTGTAAAAATGTGTGTTTTATTTTGTTTAAATATAATAACCTACTCTTTGTGTATTGTTTTCCACTTAGTTGTTTATAAATGGTATAATCCTATGCAAAATACGTGTAGTAAAGTATTTCAAGTGTAATTGAAAGACTATCGTAATGTTCTTGTATATATATATAATGTATGGGCGCGGTTTTTCGCTTGCTCTTGCGATACTTTATTTTGGAGAGATCTTTGTTCTTGGCTGTTTCTTCAGAATTCCACCGACTCAGTCGTCATAAAACGGGTCGAACGCAATCGTAAGCTGCCAAAAAAATTAAAGCGTCCCATTTCGTTTAGGCAGAAAAAAGACCGGCAATGTACCCAATATGGTGTGCCGTTTCCCACATTTCGAATGTTCAAATTCCTCTCCTGCTCGGCTCATAAATAGTAATCTGTTCCAAAACATAATTTTTCTCACGCTCTACCACGACGGTAAAAATTTTATTGCTAATTAATTTGGAAACGTCTGTTTAGGTAATTTCGAAAATTCTCATTCTTGCTAAAGAATTTCTTATTCGGGAAGTAGGAGTGTATAAATTGTTTCTTGATACGTTTACGCACCATACAAAAATTGCTTGTAAAATGTTAAAACTTCTTCTATAGCCTGCATCAAGATATCGCTACATGTGCAAATTAGTTGTGTTGAAGTATATATATTGTTATCGCAAAATGCTGAAATCGAGAAACATGTATCTGGTCAATTACAATTTATAGAAATATAGATTTTTTTTCGCTATCAGGAACAATATCAGTTGATGGCCACGTATACACATATTTAAATATATTCTTGTGTGGACTAACAACTTCCATGTTGGTATTTTATCAGACGCAAAGCCTAGCAAGAACAACAAGTCCAACAATCCTGATTCCAGTGATGATAAGAAACACAAGTCGACAGATGATGGCACTTTCACGGCAAAGACGGGAGTGCAAAACTATGTGGCCAAGTGTTGGATGTATTGTCTTCGCAAAAACCTGTATACCTTCTATCTGAGGTGCCAAAATGTACAAGATAAAAGTGAGTTGTGAAATCTTCAATTTCGTAGATAAAATGATTTGGGTCGACTCAGCATCTTCAAATGAATAATTGTGATGTTGGCTGTTTGTGGCAACTGTGTGTAAATGTGCCACTGAAAGATTGTTTTACGTACCCTTTGTACTTGTGCACCCTCCGCAACACTTAAGAGACCATATAACTTAAGACCTAACGATGCACAATTTCTTTTTCAGCTACGTGCATGTATTGCAGATATTGGTTGAGATGTCCAAGCGGCTATGGGTATTTTTAAGAGGTCAGTATTTGCTTTTACTGATTATTTAAATCAGTGGTTCTCAAGTTTTTTGTTAAATTTCTCCTTTAGCCTATTTTAGAACTATTTGCCTCCCTATGAATATAACTACTTTATTTGTTTAATCTTCAATGGATCCTTTGCTAGTTCTATGCGCATGCCGTACTCCCACTTTTGTACAGTTTAGGTAGATTGTCATATGTTCATGAATAAGTAATAAAGTAATATTATATTAATATTAATACAGCGAATACAAAACAAAATTCCTCACCTAAAATGACAAAATTCCTCTCCGGCTGGGTAACGTCGATTTAGAATTTAGATCAACACTGGGAAATATCTGCCCTAATCTATTTAACCTACTTATGGACTTCTAGAGATATTCCTGTTTCTGAAAAAACGTTATGAATGTATAATTCGAAAAGTGAATATTAGTTTATCTGTAATATTGAAAGTTTTTCAATTATAATTTAGTTACGTATATTCACGTGGATGTTAGTCAGAAATGAATGGATAAATTTTATATACGTGTGTTAGTTCAATTTTCTTCAACAAGTACTTTCTATAAATACGATAAAAATATTTTTACAGGTTGATGTTGTTACAACTGCTACCAGCCATTTCCAGAGTGTTCCACAGTCCCAACCGAAGATACTTGGGGCAACACTTATTTTGTATTGTATGGAATGTGATATGATTGAAGGGGAAGATGAAGATACCTTGAAACATTTGCAAATTTGTATACCGGTACTTCTATCGCATTAGAAGAAACTTTTGTGAACATAAACTTTGAATCATCCTCATTAGGAAAATATTGTTGACACCATTTCATTTCGTTTTTGCTTGCACAATCGTGGGTTTTGTGTGTATTTTGATATAATAAACATTCATATTTGCACCTTTGTACACCTTTGTCTGAGAGTATCAGACGCTGGCCAATGAATATGTAGTCTATATTATACATTTCGAGGTTTATTCCGGGCAAGTGAGAAGTTGGAAGAGTTTGGATCTTGTTTGTTGCAGTAAGATGTTCTAGAATTCCAAAGTGTTGTGAAGATAGAGGTAACTCTTAGTAGTTAATGGGATGAACAAATCCTCTGTAAATCGAATAATCTAATTATTTCATGGCTGTTTCTAAAACCAACTGCAGGCCTTAAAAATAAACGTTCCTGCTTTCGGTGTTCTGTGACTAGATGCGAGATTCAACATTTGATGAAATTACGGTTTCGTCTTTAAGGACTCGTGCATGACTTTTGGTTGCAAGTGAATATTTCACTAATAGTGATTACCGTTTGTGTGGTTATTGCAACTGCCTTATGCATCTACAAATTGTTGTCTAAACAAAGTAAACGATGCCTGCCAACTGTAGTATTATGGCGGTTATTGGAAGGTTTGAGTCCTCTCGCTGCCAGCCGGTAGAAGATCAGATTTATAAAATCACAACATTACCGTGTAACATTCATTCTTTGCAACTATATATATATATTCTACAATGTGTATATATAGAAAATTACATAAAATACGTCTGTGTGCAAACTATTTAATAATGGAAAAATCTCATTCAATCTGTTTTTATCTACTTTGTTTTCTACCGACTATATATACAGTACACGAAAAAGTTCGTTATAAAGAAAAAGTGAGAAAAAATAATTAATGAAAATTTAAAAGTAAAAGCTCAAAATCGATTGCCATCTGCTAATACATAAAGTATAAATTTATTTCGGCTCATTGTGATCATCTGGTACACATAGATCTCCAAAATGTTCGGAACTCAGTTCAGATAGTCTATATGCCATAGCACACGTTTACAACTTCGCATACATTTGGAATTGAGAAAGGCAAAAAACTAGACTAAAAAAAGTTCGAAAAATGTATATCTGAGTTCGTGCAGTGTGATAATGTCATTACGCTATTGAGAAATTAGTTTACTGATTATGCTTTATGATTGATTACAGTAATTATCTTAGGCTACGTTGATTGTTCTTCAAGATCCAAAGAATCTCTGTAACCACTGTCAAGACTCAATGTAGATTCTTTCGTGAGATATTGATGATTATCTTGTGACAACTCTGCTTGGTCTTCTGCGAAATCTTCCCGAGGAGATACTGGATTCTCATCAGTAAAAACTGGCTCCTGCGTCTCTTCAGAAATAGTCGCTAGCTCTTGATCTATTGGATGTTTAATTCGGATATTTTCTTCCAATTCATCAACACATGATTTATACCTCACGTGCATGTCATCATCTTGTCCTACTTCGTCTTCCATTTCTGCGTAAGAATCTGCGTCGCTTCCATCGCAACTCCCACTCGTATCACTTGCCGGCTTAGCTACAATAACCTGCCTGGCCCAGAATTTTTCGTTCAGAAGAGAGTTAGGGGGATCTTCTAAGCTATCGCTTGTATTCTTTTCGTCCTCATCATCGCTGCTACTGATGTCAGTAATTGCTTGCTCGTCTTCGATATTTTCGATGTCTTTATTTGACTTCCCTGTCTCAAATTCAGACAATTTTGTGGGTGGTATAACAGTCGAATTAATAAGCGATACCTGAAAATAAAAGTGATTCTCAATTATCCTCAAGACGTTGTATTAAGCGTGGGTATTTACTGAAATGTGAAGCCGGTTCGAAACCATCAGAACCGTACGTTATCATTCATAAATTTTCAAGTCGCTCGATATTCAAGTAAATTTTTGTTTCGTGTGAGTACTTCGACTTCGGGAAATATACAAATCAGTAAAATTGCTTTATAAACATACGTTGAAATACCTTTTTTGTGAGTGGAACTGTTTTTTCTTTCGTCAACTTAAAATTTAAGCTGACGTCACTACCTACGTCATCAGTGAGCTCACGAAAACATTGCCACGATGTCCCGCCTTCCCAGCTCATACCACTGAATGCAGGAGGCGCTTTGATTTCTCCTTGATTTTGCACCCAGGGAAGAAGTAGAGATTTACCTGTTAAAAGAACACAAAATAATAGTCTCTCCTTACATTTAGTATGTAATATTCACACAGGATAAAATGTTAAAAGTAATTATAAAGTAATATCGACGATGTGTTGTTTTGAACGGTTTTTATAATCATCTGTTGCGACTCGCGACTTAGCACCTTAGTAACTGCATGTTACTTTATTGCGTATCACTAAAAACAATAAACAACAACACTCGTGGAATTATTGCACTTGTTATGACGATAATATTATATATGACCTTACCTGGAAGGTTGATTTTCAAATCAAATTTAAAATCATAATCAGCCAGATCTGTTACCGATTCGTTTTCGGTATTCGGTCGAATTGTAACCTGTGAATAATATAGATTCACGATAAAGAATTATATAATTTAATTTGTTAAGTTTCAGATATAGTGCTATAAAATCTTTAATTGACAGATTCAAATGTTGCGTGGCATGATTCATATCACATATACTCTGTTATGACATATGTATATTAATATAACATCTCAGTAAACAATAAACAGTATCGTATTATAAAAACACAGTAGTTTTACTGTTATTCACTGGTATGTTTGCGTAGTAAAAATTTGTTTTTCGGTAGTAATAAACACTGCTCTGAGGATGAGTAAAAAGCTGGTATTGGTTGTTCGTGTAGCATTAAAAGCGCTTTCATCACTACGGCAATATTTAGATATTCCCATATGGTGTAATCAGTGCAATATATATTAATATTGAACCCCTGTGTTGCATTCCATACTTTCTCATAAAATGAGTCAAGTGGATATTTTTTGACAAGGTCGGCAACCGGCAAGCCTGTTTCCTTTTACGAATAGCCGGACGAATTTTATATTTTATATTAAGTCTAAATCTGTTCTACTTCTATAGATGAGATGTAACGAATATGTCACCTTCAAGCGTGTTCCACTCGGCATTGCATCCGGAGGAATTATAATTTCCTTGTTATCAGGAAGTTCTATTACTCCTTTGCCTCCTCCTCCCGAAAACTTGTCAAAACTTAACCTGCAACTGCTCCTTAATAAATTCAAATTGAAACTGTAATTAATTCAGTGTCTAGGAAGTTGCATTTTCATTCATTACGATTTAATTTATTTCGATTTCAAATAAGGGCTACACCGTATGAGTAGTACACTCTGGTTTTTTAATTTAAATTATTTTTACGACATTTTTTTTTGTTCATTTCTGAACGACGTCCGGTGCTTTTCTTTTTTGTTATGTCATTTTCTTAATTTTACTTGGTGTTCAGTAAAAAGAAAACATCTGGTATTTTCAAGATGCTAGTTTGAATAAATTGGTTAGCAGCCATGATCAATCAATTTTTCTATGTGTAAGCAATACGAATTGTCACAAATAAAACATTGTTATTTCTATGGAAGGTTCATTTCTACGATTGCCTCCAGATTACCAGGTTTCACATTGTTACGATCCAACAAGTCTTGATTTGGCTTCAGAAGCAAGTGAATCGCTGAATATTACTATTATTTTAAAAACATACTTGGCACAAAAAAGGTTTTTATTCAGATTTAGATAAAATTATTCAAAATGCGCATTATGGCTTCAACTGCATTGGATAATAAGCAAAAGAGGTACTTTTTATCGATGATCCAGACGGCCAACCCCGAAAAAAGCCTGAGGTAGATGGTTAAACAAGTTACTTGAAAATATATAAGATGAGAATTCTCTGCGAAATATTAGCACTTCCCGGCAGTCTGTTTTAAATATACCCATGTCCATGCGCATACTCCTAATCTAATATTGACTGACCTTCCTGTTGAATATCCGCCTTCAGATAACACAGATCGACGAGGATATATAATTTCAGATCGACGTCCTCTATCTCCGCGAATAAAAGATCCATTTTTATCATATTCTGATGAATCAAAGGAATTTTGCCGGTCATTCAACCAATTTTGCACAGATCGATTTGTTCTCGGCGTCGCTCCGTACAGCAGTTGGGTATCCTCGGCTTCTACAAGATCAGATGTTTTTGTTGTTCGCTCTGTAAGGGTAAAATTTGAATCAAGATAATAAATGTTATAAAAATATATTTTTTACCCTCGAGTGCCCTCGAGTATTACCACCCTTCCATATTACGATCTTATTGTATATATAGTCTTTTAAGCGATCGTTTGTGACAATTGAAATTGCTGAATTTCTTGAATAAAACGAGGAAATTGCTGCTAATCCGAAATTTGCTATTCGCAACTTAAATACATGACTGATTATTACATCTCGATACATCTTACAATAATTACTTGAGTTGTATATTGTATTGTTATTCTTGTGCTGTTCTTGCCAGCGCCAAACTTCGTACTTTGTTTACAAGATTATGATATACTTCGGTATAGACAGCAGCTTTCATCGAATGTGTTCTGTAACAATTGTGTCGAATTTGCTAATTATGGATTATTTGATTATATAGAGTCCAAATATTTACCTAGTAAATCGTTCTCCTCTTCTTCCAAGACTTTTCGAATTTCTTCCGAAGCTGCAACCTCAGATGCACGGTTGCCGTTGTTGTCTCTCAAACGAACCTTATTTAGCATTAAAATGATTTTTTTACAATACGATATGAAAATGTAGAAATATACAAACGGTATTCAGGAATATTTATATTTCTTTGTAGTAGAGTCCGCGTGGTTTGTTTAGGTTAATATTAGTAAAAATGCGATCATGTATACAGTGCCATACAATGTTTATATGTAAAACCTAACTAAACATACCAGCACATTCCAGATTCTGACACCCACCCCAGTCGTGAAAGCTGAATGTATCTTACCTTCGCATTAAATTTCAGCAGCAAGAGAACAGAATTATTTGTCGATTCTGCGGCCACGTGGAGCGGAGTCTGGCCTGAGAAAATATAGAAAAATTCATTTTTGTGTAACAATCGCCATTGTAGAAGTTCCGTAGCACCATCGTACTAGTTATTGTCTTAACTTGTTCGAAAGTTTCGCAACTCGTTCGTTTATCGCAGGGTTCTTCAAACTGGGGATCCTGAAACCCACCATCACCGAAATAAAAAAAAAATGTTTATTTTAGTTTCTGCTTTTCGCGAAAACATTTGGCAGTGCCGAGTGGGTCGTGATGAAAGAGGTCTATCGTATTGGATAGAAATGGCATATTTATGAAAAAGGTTATCAAGGGATGGATGGAAAGTTTTATCTTGCATTTGAACAATATGAAATTCTGTTTACACCCGTATTCATATGCGGTGAAAAATCATGACTAAATTAGCTTACCATGTCTATTTTTTAAATTAGGATTCCCTCCAAATCTAAGTAGAATTCCGGGAATAAGCGGATCAATCCCCCTTCTCAATGCACAAGCATGCAGTGGAGTGTCGCCATCTACGTTGCTAATATTGGGATTTGCTCCTCCTCTCAATAACCATTCAATAACCTTCAGATCACATCCGCAACAAACTGCACTGTTTATGCAAAATAATGAATATTTAGCAAATATTACGATCATTTCCTATGGTTTGATTGTGAACAATATATTTTATTGTCTGCATCTGTCATAGCCATCTGTCAGATTTTTATTGTTTTCTTTGCGGAAAAGCAATGCTGAAACACGGAAATGAAATTATAAAATCGAGCTTTGAGAAGTTTTAGATTGGGCACTGTTGTACCGCAGGGAATCTATCAGTCACAGTGAGCCAATGAACATTTTGCGTTCGCCCAAACATTTCATCAGGCACTTAAAGCCATTTCTCGCTTCATTTGAGTCGTTTATACTGTATGATGTAATTACGATGATTAATTAATTAATAAATCAATTAGTGATTGAGGTTTCATGTTTACCTGAACAAAGCTGTGTCTCCGTGATCGTTTTGTAAGTTGATATTTGGTTTGAATTTCAGAAGTAATATAACTGATTCAGCATTGTTGTGAAACATAGACACGTAATGCAATGCGGTATCACCTTGCGAGTCTTGCTCATCTGCGTGCAAAAATTATCATCTGAATTATAGGTCTTGACATGAATGCATTCTTATTTGCAAAATAATAGTGGTGACCTCTGTTGCAAAAATTTTGACCTGTACTCATGCCTACACCTAAAAACATTCTTTGCGCTTTATAGTATTATCTGTGTACATAACATTGTCTAATTTGCATTATTAGTAAAAGAACATTTCATTATTACACGTTGTTCATTTTTGATTGAAATACGTCTGAAAGTTTCGGAAAATAGTCTATTGATGCGAAAATACGACATAGCTAAAAATGTCAGTCGCGAACAATAATTGTTAGTCAGTGAAAAGTCGTTGGGTGAAAATACACGTCTAGAGGAAACTTTAACGAGAAAATTAGATGGGAAGATGGCATCTTAATACTAATATAAACTGGCATAGATGTGTTCAAAGTGACCCTGTAGTTGGTCAAGAACATACTGCGCTACCTTAATAATGTTGAATTTTGACTTTGAAATGTGCTACAAATCTTACTATTGATATCAATAAATATTTAATCAGCATTACCCGCGACACTCGACAAACGCTATAATATTTTACCAATGCCTCCTAAATACCAACGCTATTATATGACTTGGCAAACATTTCCGATCTCTAGAAACCCTTGTCGTCAACTGGTTGTCTGGATTAATAACTGGATATTTTGTAGACATACTTTGTTATTTGATCAGCCCTGTATAAATTGGATTTGAAATATTGGCACCAGGTACTGTCGTTAATACTGTTGTGTAATGTCGTATGTGTTAGTTACGGCGTTGAAGCACAAAAGATACTTGATAAAATCAGATTTGGGCGTAATTCAAGACATGCACATTTATTTTTCAACAATATTTTCGGAGATTGAAAAAATTTTTTTTTATGAACCTACCTACGTCATATACTCGATTCAGCACAAAGCTCAACATTTTTAGGTTGCTTTTCCGACTTGCCGATCTGTGTAACGCGTTCATTTTTAACGGTTTGGGAGGTGGCGTTTGATTTTTTTGACCTAGTTCATTGTCAGCTGTATCTTTTGCCATTGTATCAACCAGTTGATTAAACGCTACATTATATTTCATATCAATTTCAGTAGCAGTCTCCACTTTTAGTTTCTGGGGTTTGTTAAAATTTTCATATTCCAGCAGTTTGTTGAGGTCTCCACCTTTCTTGAGATATTTTTGCAATTCTGGCAAATCTCCTTTTTCTGCAGCTTCATGCAAACGATAATTTACTTCATCCGTGGTTAGTGTATTTCCCATTATTATTTAGTCGCTAGGTCATAATTAGCTTGGAAACTGAGTATAAAGTAGAAATAAATAAATAGTAGATAAATTCAAACAAGGCAAATTTTATCCGCCGGGACGTTGAGTAACCTTTAATTGGAAATGTCTATTGTACTCTTAGTTATCGAAAGGAGTGAGTTTAGATATGACAGTAGTACACGTACTGAGTCTCCATATCATCATAGCTGTATGGACATTAATTACAACGACCCACTATCTAACTAATCTCTGAATATCATCTGCCTTCCTAGACCATAGACAATACGGCACCCGCACATAAAAGAACGCCAAAGTCTTCTAATCTCGACCTAAATAAATTGTATTTCGTAATATGTTCAACGACCTCGTTTGGTAACTGATAGATTCGTACATCTATACTGATAGTTTAAAAAACGTGAGCATGTCATAAAGAAACCGTGATCTCGTTGTTCCTTGAGGTAATTAGTGATATCGTTTATTTTTCTTCGCATCTTACTATATACTTAACTGTAAATACGAATATCGAAATACGAATATCTTTGTATTTAATGAGGCCATATACCTATGGATGCGTAAAACTTAAAGCACTTGTTAATTGAAGTAGATTAAAAGAATGTTCAATGAATGAAAAAACACAAAATTATAATCGCAACTCCTGTAATCTAATTTTACCAAACAGCAGAAACTGGACTATTTTACACTTCAAGTTTATTGAGGGCCATTAATTCTATATTTCTCACAGGAAAGGCTCATTTCAGTACCACATGTCGCAAGAACTATCTTTAAAAACTTTCGCTCTGAATGAGTACGAATTCATTCTCACCCTATCTGAAAGGTCATCCTGTAGTCTTTGGATTAAAGGTCAAACTTCAATACCTAAGTTTATACATAAACTGCTGATAAAAAAGCAAAATTCCAAAAAATGAGATAGCAAGAATAAAAATGAGTGTTTTTTCTGTTGCCTGTGGATCACATACGTCCAATACAATATTATTGTTGTTTAGTATAATATGTCACTACTTATCACTTAATTAACGGAAATCACGTGAAGATTATTGCTTATTCCGGCGTTTCATCACCACCAGACAGTTAAAGGAAATATTTAATCATTGTATATAATACAACAGTGGGAGGAGTTAATATCACAACCTCATTCAAATTGAAAACTAATTCATACTATTGTCGTCACAACTCCAAATCTGAAACTCCGATTTTTTAGTTTGTTTAATCATTTATAAAATTCAATACTCTCATTGAAGAAGTACAAGCAAGTATTGCTACAATGTTAATTTAAAAAAAATGCTAATTTAGAAATTAGTACGGTACATTCAAATGTTAAATTCGTTCCTTTTGTCCTAGTCTAATGAGTAACTCGGACTATTGAGAAAAATGGAAATAAATGATATTTCGAGAGTCTACTCTTATTTACTTTTGACATGAGCTTAGTCGGCAATTACGAAATGGCAGAATGCTGACAAACACGCAATTCACGTGATCGGATTTGTTTTTTTATAGGTTTCTTATAAAATAGTTTTCTTCACATGTCTCAATTCTTTTAAATTTTGGTTGAATGCATTTTGTGTTTTTCATGGTGGTCGTTGGGATTTCTCCCTCCACGAGTCTACATAACAAAGTACAGTTACATTTGGAAAATCGGCATAAAAACATGCCGGTTCTACAACACTGACGGCCATTTTTAATATTTCGCAGTTTTTATTATTCTTAAACTTATTGATTTGATTATTGTAATCATACACTATCATGTCTGCATATTTATGCCAAATGATTTTCTATTCCCTTCGAATCAGAGGAGGCCCCGAATATAGTTAACATTCCTGCAAGTTTTGACCTTTTGATAACTGACAACTTAATCGATTCAATCACACCTTAACTAAGCTGAGGTAAGGCGGAAATGATATTTGTGATTTAACAATTAAATCTACATGAATGATGACCTGTGATAAACAATTTGTTGCATACGAAAAGAATACGTCATATATAGCTAAATTGATGATAGTATGAGTTTTATACTCGCGCTAATAAGATATCACGTCTGTTTTAGTTAAGAGCCATGCGGTATATTTTGAATGTGGTAGCAATAAAGATTTGCAATATGTTTATTTTATCACATCCTCGAACAGGTACAGAACATCCTTTTTGCTCAAAAAACCTATAAAACAAACCGATCACATGGACTGCAGGTAATCGTGTTTATTAGCATTCTTCCATTTCATATTGTTGACTGAGCATCGCATGTCGAAAGACAGTCATACCTACTAAATGGGAGTAAACTGGTAAAATGTATATTGTTTTATTTTTCGCATTTGGCCGAGTTATATATCAGACTTCAATCAAATCAAAAAAATCAACATTTAAAGTTAACGCACTAACTCCTATATTCGTAATTTTTCATTTTTCTTGTGATTAACATTGTAACAATGCTAGCTTGTACTTCGTTAATAAAATTATTGAATACATGATATTTTTACGATATTCTCGGACAAATAGTTTTTTATACGGCGTTTCACGTATTAATTACTCAATTCAGCTCTCATTCGATCAAATAAAAACTCTTCGAAATTCCTAATGAAAGTATTTAAATTGGGCGTGAATTTCGCAATGACGTTGGTTTCTTATTAAAACAAACCGCCAACCCCAAACAAACATATTTCATATCTGGGCAATTATTGAAATAAACGAATTTAATAGTAGCTTACTTGAAGAAAAACGTTAGCTGGATCGCTTTGATGTCGTTATTAGAAATAAAAAATTTAAAGCTCCCTTTAAATATTTTTGGGAAAAAAAAAATGAAATACTACTAGAAAAAAGTTTTTTCCTGTCTACGTTGTCAAACTGATCCTATCCCAGAATATCTGCTAAATTTCGAAATAGGGTAAATCGAATATCTGAACAACCTTATTCATTTAAAATATAAATACTGTGTTAGATACAATTGAACTATAAAGCAGTTGCTCCTACCAAGCTTACCCGTTTTGAAGCTGAATTCGACCTCGACCATAAGTTGACCATGTACTTCTAACGCGTCATCGATACCAACTACCCAGGTGTCTTTAGGTGTTCAACAAGACAAACTGGGATTTCTTGAACTAACAATCAACAAATAGTTTGTTTGATAAAGCGGGCTATATATGGGCCACAAATTATACATTTGGTATATCCACGTACTATGTTTGTTCAATCGTAACTTTTAGGGCGATTAAAGAGAATGAAAATACATTGCTTGCTTTTAGGGAGGAGTGCACAATATTATAGGTGGTTTGGTACACTTCTAGAATCAAGTATTTTATTAAATGCTTTTCCGTGTAATTCAATTTTCTGTTCTTATTCAGTGTATGTTCTTAGTAATATTCTCAACCACATTCCTCAACCAACGGGATATGGAGATGAATTTATTTTCTTGTATTTTGGAGTGTTAAACTTGGAAAGATATTAGGGAAATATAGGTAGATGATAATGTTTATTTTCTACCACAAAGTAAGATCCATGTAATAAGGGCGTCGGCGATGATGTAGGACAGCGAGACCTAACAAAATAGCGACATTATTTGACCATATTTAACATTAAATAAAGCAGACTGAATAGTATGGGTGGGGGAACATACTGTTAGCCACATACCACCTACAAATTCTAATATCGACTATAATTGTTTTGCGCTTGGTGTTAGGTAAGTAGGTGAAAACTTAAATATGAAACGTAAATGAAGTTCTGTCATCAAATATAACTTATTAAATTTGGGTATAGGCTTAGCCATGTTGTCGAATTTTACATTCGATCAAAAGCGAAATTATTATTGACTCTGTGGAATAAAAGAATGTTTCTGTGGTATATCTTATGAAACTGTACTATTTATTAAATCCATATTTTGGCAGTGGAGAGAATATGAGGTAAAATATAATGTGTTTTTATGTAAATCAATAATAGTCCACAAACTGCAATTGCACTTTAGTTTTTAATATATATATACTCGAAGTATTCTCAAAGAGAATAATCAAATAGACATTATTCAATGAACCTCTTATAGTCTAGCTTGTCTCTCCGGGAAAATACGAAGCTGTTTTTGTTATTGCACACAAAATTTGAATATGGACCGTTATGTATAATTGCTGTTGTCGGGATCGTAGTTGTAAAAAAATTTATACCTCGAATTTGTGGACGAAGGCACGTGTTTGGGTTGATTCAAACCCCAAAGAATTGTGTTGAAACCACGGTACAGACATTACACACTTCAATATAGAAGTGACCATATGAAGCCTCTTTGCTTTCGTAATTATCAGATATCGACTTCCATTACCCCAAAGTTTTTATTATTGCGTCTTGGCATCATGGGCACCGCTCAGCATTGAACCACTTGGGACGCTATTGAGCTGTTATATTCTTGAATAACTGACAACTTGGCTCGTATAGGTCAGGTGTTCGAGGTAATAAAAGCTATGAATCTGTCTATGTTAATATATCAAATATTACTGGGTATGTGAAATAATACTATGAAAATTGTTTTATAATGAGAGAATGGACCCTTCATTAGTCTTACATAAAGACGTATATGCTTACAAACACAAATGTAACTGAATCGTTTGAATCGACGGTACAACAACCTTGCTTTAATGAATGCAAATGAGAAAAGTGAAAGGAAGTGCCTTTCACTGGAATCTAGAGGATAGAAAACTGTTCGGCTTCATTTTGAATGCAAATATTGCTTTAAAGTCTCTTTATTCTGATCAAACGCATGATTAGAATTTTTTGATATTTTCCAATTAGTTATATTTTGTGAGGGATTCCTGTCAGATGTTCGCACTGGCAAACGTACAGCAAATCTCACATTGGTAAATAATAATATTATATTGGTTACAAAACTGATAACTTTGGAACCTCGCTTGATTTTTAATAAATTTTGTTGGTACGTACCCATTTATATAGATTTCTGAACAGACAAAGTTGTAACACCCTCAAAAATGCTAAAGACATAGAGAAGGCGATTGTATTTCACAAACAACATTGAAAGTAAAAAGCCACCGT